AGCTAAACAAAATGGCGTACATCCTGGGGCAAGATTTACATGTCACTCGACAAACTTTGAGCCTGAGCTGACCTCTCAGCTCTTCTGCTCCTGAGCAGCTTGACTGCCTTTCTTTCTTGGATGTTAGCTGTTGTCCGTAGTCGAGGGTCTGTCTCAAGTTTCTGCACACAATCTTTGCATAATTTCTCGCCACCAGTTACCGCCCCTTCCCCCCTTTCGGCAAGTGTTAAGCGGCGAAACGGCAAATGTCATCAGAAAAAAACTAGCAACAACTTTTATATTTTTTTTTTTTGTGTGTATATCTTATTCAGCTGGAGTAAGACCCAAAAGCGACGACTAAGTCGACCGTTTGGCTAAAGAGTGCTTGCTAACAAATTGCCTGAAGCCCAATGATGACTATCTGAAATGAGTGGAGGGCTTTGAGGGAAATAGAATTAGCACACGCATTAAGCTCTTACATAATCGAGAATGAAAATGACGGACTTATGAGCATAATCAGTATTTGCTCACAGCCTCCGCATATCAAGTGGATAAGTTATACCATTATGAATGGATGACCTTGTCGGGACTACGATACCAACAAAGAGCATCTCACCATACTGCCCCTGAAAAAATCTTCACAAAATAATATCTTAATAGCAATCTGAAATTTATACTTAGGCAAGAACATAATAAGCTCACCAATTCTAACACAAAGACGTAAAACTCGCATAGCATCAAAAATTAATTTCCCTAAAGCTGATCGTTTTTTTTTTTTTTTTGTGATTTTTATATGTACAAAAATATATCTTAGTTATAAAGTAAATTCCATACCCCATAGTATACAATCTGACTATCTCAACATTTGTTAGTACAATATTTATAGTATTGTGCAAAAACTATAAACACTTATACTATGTAAACTGACTACAGATTAGGTTAGCGGGCTGGTCTAGTAAATAAAAATATTCATGGCCAAAAACAAAAATTTATCTATACCGTTTCCGCCATTGTTTTGACATGTATTATTGTGGAAATTCAAGAATATCGAGAAATTCTACACGCATCATACCAATATACATTTGTTTGGCACATCAGTGTTGTGCAGTATCAGACTTCAAGGTTGTCAAAAGTTTTACTTTGAAATTGGAAAAACAACAGCAACTCAAACTTTGCCCAGCATTTGACGAGACACGTGGGTAGGGGAAGGGAGCCAGGGGACGCAACAGCGAAATGGCGTGCAAAAATTTAATGGATAATTGAGACATGTAAACAATATCCCTAAGTGCAAAGCCAACAAAAAAAAAAAAAATTGCGTACATCAAAGGTCGCCCCCACTCAGTTTGAGTTGCCCACCTGGAAAGCAATTAACACGACAAAGAATAAGCAGGCTGGCAGCGCCTGGTAGACGCGGGTAGGCACAGCATTAAAATATTAAATACCTACTCATGAAAGGGGTTGCTGCAGCAAGGATGGTGCCACAAAAGTGCCTGACACACACACACACACACACACACACACACGTGCACACACTCACGCACGACAAAGCAGAATAATAAATTTCAATTCAGCAGACGTCGCATCGTCTCTGCAAACGCTCGCTGAAAGTCGACGTCGACTTCCATGTTGATAAGATGGTACCACACAGCACTCAGAGCTGCCACCGTGCATGCAGATGCTGTTCGCATAAAGTTCAACACGACCAGCTTAAAAATATGTGAGGTGATGTCTACAAAAAAATAAAAAATAATAATAATAATAAAACTCACTCGAGAATGATAAGCTAGAAAACACCCCGCACACGATCCCAATGGACGTAATATTTTAACTTCAAATGAAACTCCTTAATATGATAAATGGATACTTAAACGTTAACTTTGTTTATTGGTTGAGAGATAGGCATTAGTGTGTAGTATAATAAAAAAAATATAATCAAAGATATACCTCCCCCAAATTAGATAGCCAAAAAGTTGAGAGAATTGGCACGTGTTTTCTGAGAGCCGAATTTCTAATTTTAGAAGATAAATAAGTCAATTAGTGTAGTAAAAATTGTGGCTCGAAACAATATATAATTAAAAGTTGTAACTAAGTGTGAGAAATAAGAAATATGACTAACTTTTTACTTCCTAAGTTTTTGGTTCTATTGGTTTAAGTTGCATTATCGACTCAGCTTATATTCCTGATCAGCAAAATGAATAGAAATAACAACACAAAAACCTCCTTCTTAGTGTTTGCCCATGCCCTGATTCATAACTCCTTTTTTGCTCATTTTTAATGGGTAACATGTACGAAAAGTAAAAGGCTTTATAAAAATGCTCACACAAAAAGCCGCTGAGAAAAAGTCATACATAAGCTGCTAAGGGGGGGTAAACCGTGGGCAGGCTGTAGACTGGCTGCTAAAAGGAAATGCGCAACGTAGCCCAAAGGTGTCAAGCGGAAAATAAAGCATAATAGCTGCCACTGTTTTGCACTTTAGCTGGTGCAAACTCAAAGCATGCTACGGCAAACAGAAGCAGCTGCAGCAACAGCAGCGGTAGCGGCAGCAACAATTGCTGCAATGGCAATGTGCAAAAGCCTAGACAGCCATCAGTCAGTCATTCGGTCGGTTGTGGCGACCTTCGGCTGTGCGTAAACTGAGGCAGCAACGGAGTGACGCATTTCCCCGGCCAGAACAAACTCATCTACATATATGGCAGAATGCAACTCCTCATGGTTGGGGGGGCAAACTCAGCTCTGTTTCCCGTTCTGTTTGCAAACAAGAATGTTCAAAAGGTGTATATATAAAACGACAAATTTAATTCAAAATTAAAGCATCAAAGAAAGGTATGGGTAAGCTTATAAATTATGAAAATGTGAGAGTTACTTCAAAGAACATTTTAAATTAGGCAAAGCTCAAGCTTATGTGAGTGCAAGTATATAGCACAAGCACATGTGCAATAACATCTGATATTGATGAGAATTTGTCCATAGGCGAATATGTGAATAAGCCCAACGATTCAATGAGATTATACTCATTTACGATTATTTTTCTGCACCAATTATGTTATCATTATATTGCAGGCTAAGAATTATATCATAAATATTGATAAGAATTATTTGCTGGACACAACACTTGTGTAAATATTTATGGTTTATTTTTTATAGCACTCTTTATGCCCTTTATTTAAAAATGCCAAATGGTCCGGTCGAAGAACGTGTTCTGCAATTTTAACTGATACGAAATCGAAATTCATTTGTGGCAAAATAATCGGCTTTGGCCTTTCTCAAATAACTCAGATTGTAGAAATGAGTTAGTATTGTAGGGCAAAATAAAGCAATAAAATGTTACTACCTTCAAATGAAACTACAAAATTGTTTGCTCACATTCAAAAAAATATATATTTTGAACAATCTCTGGAAAAATTAAATTTAATTCTAAAATTGTTTATCTTGTTCACAAGAAATTTATTGAATTTTACAACAATATATATATAATTTAGATTAAGAACCGGCAAGCATTAATTCTCTCTAAAATTGCATCAGCTTTAAGGCAAGTATCAGCAAATATTAAGTATACGCGTCAGCCCCTCTCAATTTTCATTGTAGTTGTCAATAAATTCTCAATTTCAAGTGTAAATGATATAGTAAGGCAAACATCGAATTTATGTGTAAATCATAAAGAAATAAATATAATAAACAATATTGAAAAATAGCATGTAAATTGATCAACACTCTAATCAAATACTTTATTTTCTCATTACAGGCACTTGGCACTATTTGGTATAATGTAAAAATGCACAAGGCGTGGCCGCATACCAAAAAGTGGAGCTGCAATTTGAAGCTGTGCATGTGCACCATCTTGTGGCTGCCCCGTCCATGAGCCATGTCTGAAGCACAAAGACGACAACTCGAGCCAGAACTGCCAACTGATTTGAAGAAATGAACATGACATGCAACAACAAACAGCAGCAACAATAGCAATACGAGCAATAGCGACAAAAGTAATTTGAATTTGTGCGAGCAACAAGAAGCAAAACAAAGCAAATTGACACAGGGGAAGTGAGAGAGTGAGAGAGAGAGAGAGAGAGAGAGAGAGAGAGAGAGAGAGAGAGACAGGGCCACAGAGAGAAAGAGGGACAGAGAGAGAATGAGCTAGAACTCAATGCAAATTGTGTACATATTTTGCTTGTATGTGTGCGGGAGTGTATGTTGTGGGATGCGAGGTTGTCCGCTTAAATAAATGCTATATAAAACGGGGCAAAAGAATGAGAGTTACGGCATCATCATCGGCAAACGAACAAACAAGACACAACAAGACAAAACAAGGCAAAAAGTGCAGTTAAGCGTGGAAATTGCATTAAATATTAAAAAAAAAAAAAAAACGAGAGGAAAAGTGCGCAGGAAAAAATAACAATATAGAAGAGGAACCGTCGTAGCTAACGAGCGCTAAAAAGCAACAGCGAAAAATAAACTTACAAATAAAATCGGAACTGCAGAAAGAGAGTAAAAAGTTTTGATTGAAAAATTTTAATTGTGCTTTCATTTGGATCTGTGCTGCTGTTGCAAACACACACACACACACACATGCAACAGCAACAGCACCGACAACTACAACACCCATCAACAACAATTGCAAAAAGCGTAGCAGCGACGCCAATTTGTTTGCCACCGACGCCCGATGCGGTGACTGTGTAAATTTCTGATTAAAAACGGCAACAAACGCAAAGAAACAAATAAATAAAGAACAACAACAAATAAATAAAAATTGTGCAAATTGAAATTGTGGCATGTATGCGAAAAGCAGAGCAGGCCAATAATAAAAGGGACACACTGCCTGCCACAATAATATTCTTTTCCATACAAACCTTAATGTATCCCACAATTGATTTCATACCTTACAGCTCGCTGTGAAAAATGTCAAATGTCAATTGACTAATAAAAATATTAAAACTTCAAAAAAAAAGGAGAGAAAAGAAAAATACTAAAACATTAAAATGTTGTTGAAATTCTTGATTTATTCATCTGTTCATTTTTAATTTGTGATGAACATTTGTGAGTGCGTGAGTGTAATTTATTTTTTATTGCTTTTAGACAACGAGAAGAGGAAGATCGCCTGTTGCTCCGCCCACTACAAAAAACATATGTAAATTTGTCAATTTAAGGCAAAACAATAAATTTATTTGGCAAACAAAACTGAAAAGCTGCGCAGCCCTGCAAAGTGAGCTGTAACAGCCAGAAATAGTGTAATACCTACGGTAAACTGTCTGCCTCACAATAAAAGTCAAGTGCGTGCCACTTAACAACCAGTCGGCGAAGAGAGAGGGAGCGAGAGGAATATAGAGCGAGAGAGAGAGAGAGAGAGATACACATACAAACAGGAGTGAGGTGCTTTGTGTCATTGACAAAGTAACGCATCGCGAGATAAGAGGCAACAAGAAGCAGCCAACGACAACGCTCGATAAACGACAAACAAAATGAGCACCACCATCACCAGTAGGAGCAGCAGCAGCGGTAGGAGGAGAAGCAGCAGCAGCGGCAGCAGCAGCAGCAGCAGCATCAGCAACAACGGGAGCATCAAAGAGCTGATAGCGCAACTATTGCTTCTTATCAGCATCACATCGAGCTTGCCGGGTAAGTGCCAAGCCAAATGAAATGTACCCCTGCCTGCCCATGTCCTTGTTTCCTGTGTTCTCTTTTCTGCTTTTATACTCTGTTCCTATAAGCAAATACTGAATATTTGAATCTGGTTGACATTGATTGTGACTACCAGAATTCGATTTAGCAATCATAGAAATCATTTCCATTTCGATAGAAAAATTATATAATTTTTTTCTACACATAATATACAATATATTAATAATTTGCATACTGATCATTTAACTTATTTTATATAACTAGTACTCAGAACAATATCGAACAAACTTAACTCAAATATTTTTATTTGCTTTCTGAGCTTACTGCCTAAATTTGTGATAAGTTTAAAAGTCCATGAGAGTTCAAGAGATAAGCTCAAATACGATTGAAAAAATACTTGAATTACTTTTTGGATTTGAGCGATAATAAAAAAAATCAATCCACATTGACACACAAGTTTTTAAAAGTACTTTTAAAGAAAGTTGCAAAAGCCCTGATGGTGATCAGTCTCAGTTGTATCTTCACCGATATTTTCAATAATATATCCTTGTGTTATAAAATCAACAATCTTATTTTAACAATCCTTAACAATCAAAAATTCGTAGAATACATATACGCCACAATTGTAAGGATCCGTTTCCATCGCAACTTAAATCTTTCAATACACTAGGAGCAGAGCATTGTGCAGTCTGCACTTTTGATACTGCTTCCTGTTTTACTTATCGTTGCCCAAAATTAATGCAAATATTTAACGTGCGTTTTTTTTTATGGATTTGTCGTTGTCATGCTAGTAGCTGGCATGTAGTCAGAGCTGGTTGCCATTGCCTATATTTAGGCGATGTCATCGTCGACAACGAATGTCGTCATAAAGTTGACAGTCAGTCAGTCAGGCAGTCATTCGGGCATTTAGTCATTCAGGCAGGAAGCTGGTGAGGCTTGGCTCTCCACTTGACATAACTTATAAATGGCTTTCGATTAAGTTGTCACATTAGCATTAATCTCAACACAGCTCTTTGCCCCATGCCCCACATTGTGGCCATATCAAGAGTAGGCAAGCAGCCCATTGATGTTCAATCAAGTTGTCTGCTGCTGCTCTGCGGAACGCGTGCTAATGAGCCGTAAGCCCCCATCAGTTGATTTTGATTATGACGTTGACGTCGAGGCCTCTCCACCCACTTACCAAGACGACCTGCCGACCTGCCAACCTGCCGACTTGCCGACTTGCCGAGCTGGCGTGTCGGTGAATGCAAACCATTTGCATGCTTGAGGTGCACTTTGTGGCTCCAGATGAATTGGGTCATTGCTGCCCGAGCGGCATGTGCGCTATTCTCTTCACTCTGTAAACTTCATCACGACCCATTTAAGTGCATTACATAATTGATAATTAATTACCTAACGCACTTACCTCAAGGCATTTCACCAGCTCTCCCATCAATTGACTTTTTATGGCCTTATTGAGGGTCTTTTAATTTTCTCGTAAGAATCTCATTAAGCATATATATATATATATATATATATATATATATATATATATATATATATATATATATATAGAGAGAGAGAGTTATATTCTTGATCAGGCAGATATCTGTATCTTTGCTAAGGGCAGACCATTTTTCCAAAAGTTTGACGAAAGCATTGCTTATTTCCTGAATTGCTGTCTCCAGCCACTTGAGCAACAAGTTGAACCGAACATATAAAAACAAAAAAAGTATGAAACCGGTTGACAAGTTCAAGTTTAGTTAACGGTATTGATCAGTCTAATTGTGTATTTTGATCAAGACTAGCAGTTCACTTAAATTAGAACCTCTACTTTGAACAAGTAGTTTAATAATAAACATTACTTAATTATACGGGGGCTTGTGTCGTCATGTCGGTTAATTAAAGCAAAAACCATTGCGTTTTTTTTTAATGCAATTATTTCTGATGAATTCAAAGTCTAATATATATATTTATATATATAATGGTTACTTTTATATTAAAGGTATCATAGCATATTGGTTTTGTGCAATGTTTGTCATGCTGTCTGTCCATCTGTATGAACGCAATTAGAGACTTGAAATTTAGAACACATACTGGTCTGTGTCCGCGTCAGACAAAGTGTAAATATTGGAGTGTAACGTCCACTAGGAAATCGATAAAATTGATATTCGCAAATCGATAAAGCCACATATCTTCCACAATTTTAAGGCTACCGCCTCCCCAGGTATTGCAGCCGTAGAAATCTGAAATGCTCATATCTTCCACAATTTGTAAGCTAGTGTCATCAATATTTGAGAGTCTGTTACTGGTAACTCCCCTAAGAGTTCAATTTAAAAATTGAATGGCCACCCATACTCCGATACACCTGTTAGCGTAAATCGATCATTTTTACCATATATCTCATACAATTTGAAAGATAGATAAACCAAATTCGACAATTTAAGAGTTACAGCTATGAAACTTGGAAGGAATATTACTGGGAACCTTCTATAAATACCAGTCAGCTGGTATTATGTATTATATTAAAGTATGTCGCAGTCGGTTACTTCCGACTGCCACGTTCTTTCTTGTTTTTTTTTTTTTTTTTGTGCCATTCTCTATAATTGACAAATTGATAATACTAAAAAGCATTAATCAAGAAAACCGACCGCCTTATTTCCACAACGTTATATATATCGATAATATAATAAGTTAGATTAATTGCCCACTGAATAATTCTAAATTATTAAACAGTACTTCACACTCTATACGTTAATACTCTCACAAAAGGAACTTATCTCGAATTCTGTAAATTTAAAGTTCAAATTATATTTAAGTATTTATTGTATAAATGCTTCAATTGTTAAACAAATTTATTTGTCTTATTTTAAACTTTGTTATTAAATTACATAAAAGTGCAAGTGGGTATTAGGTATATGATCCATACAATTCAATTCCTACCTATTAAAATGAATAGTTCTTTTGACTGTTGTAAAAAAATTATCAGCTGCCTAATAACCTGCCCCAGAGCAAGTAAAGCGAATAAATTAATCCATAGTTTATTCTTACATAAGCACAGTTTAAGAACAATTTGTGATAAAGTAATAACGAGATAATTTATATTCTCATGTTTTATGGACGTGATATAATTAACTTAGGCACTCAACTATAAAAGCTAAACATCATCTGGAGTCAGAAGTTAGTAGCTTGGATATGTTGTTCATGTGAATGTGCTCTAAAGTTTTTTCATTGTGAAGATGTCAAGAATTATCATTATTGTCGTACTTTGCTCAATTCTGACTGTGCAAGCCAAGTTTCGTAAGGACAAATCCATATTTCAATTCGATCACTAGATAAATATCCTAATTATTCAGCCGACGATTCCAAGCCCTGTAACTATGAAGATAAACAGTGCATTGTTGAATTATTCAACAAATTGTTTATCGATAAGGTGGTGCAAATCGATCCACTGAAGGTGGCTAAGATGCATTTAAAGCAAGGCGTCGAAAATCCTGTTCGTTTTGATCTAATCTTTAAGGACAACGCCTTGATTGGCCTAAGTAAAATACGATTCACTGAAGTCAAGTAAGTGGCATCTTAAATTAAAACTACTTAAAATATATATGAGCAGTAATTCTACTAAAGGGGTTTCGCCAAGGACTTTGCCCAAAAGCACGAACTGAGTATAAATGTCAAAAACCTACAAATGTTGGGTCCATACATCGCCAAGGGTACATTGATATTACTGCCCGTAAGCGGAACTGGCGAGAGCAATGTGACCTTGGGTAAATTCCATTATAACTAAAATATCACATATTTAAACATAATATCTTAATTCTCAGACAATACTCAAATGCAGATAACATTTACGGGCAATCCTTTTGAAAAGAATGGAGAAACCTATATGGATATAAGCAATCTTGAGCTCACAGTGAAGCCTGGTCGAATATATTACCACTTTACCAATCTGTTCAATGGCGATAAACTCTTGGGTGATAATGTAAATGCGTTCCTCAATGATAACTGGGAGTTAATATTTCGCCAAGTGGAGGAATCTTTTCGATCAGCATTGAAAAAAATAATTGAGGCCATTATAAAAAATGTCTTCACAAAGTATCCCTACGCCAAGTTCTTTGCGGAGTGAATACAGTTTTCACCTAAGCAACTTTGTTTAATTAAATAAAATACTTTGCTGCATGAAAATAATTTTTAAACAGATCTTTGATTACAATTATTAAGATGGGCTTTGTGCTGCCAGACATGCTTAAGCACCTTTCAGATCGATTTGGCAACGTTCTTGCCACAGAGTATTCCACAAAGGTAGTGGCAGCTGGTAGGCCAAAGACGACTACTGTGTGTATACAACAGAAAATTCCAATTTTGCCAAAAATGAAACCATCACAAGTTTCTGCGACTGATAAAATATGCTCTGCATTATAGGAATATTCATATACATATGTCTATATGTTAATGTTTATGTTTATGTTATGTTTTCCAACTTATAGGCACACACAAATGGAAGTCAAAGGGCAGTCATTATACGTTTAAATTAATTTTAATTTAAGGCAGTTGTCAACGCTTTTCCATACATGTTTGCTAGTATTAAGTATATATACACCACACCTTGTATTTAATGACATTGGCAACTTTTCCGCCAATTCGATCAACATTTTTGTGCTTCAATGATGCGAAAACGTTGTCGTATTTCCTGTCAAACGGCAGAAATTCCAGTTCTCGCTACCACCCGTTAAGCCCCATATATATATTTTTGGTTGCGCAACAATAGCAAACAGTTAAATGAGCGATTCGATTCGATTCCATTCGTCGATAAACGCGAAAGAAATAAAAAAAAGCTAACAAAAAAAAAGCCCAAATCAACAGCTGGGCTGGTGCTTTGTGTCAGTCGGTCGCACGGTTTTTGGTTCATTTTTGTTTTATTTGCAATATTTTTTGTTTGTTTAATTTACAAACAAATGTTGACATTGTTTTCGCTTGTCAGTGTATTTGTCCGAATGTGTGTATTCGCATTGAGTGCGTAATTCCCTTTTATGCTGTGTTGAAGTATTTTTGATGTTTTGTTGTTATTTAATTAATATGACTTTTGTGACGCCGACATTTCTTTTGGTTCACATGTCTTGCATTCCAGAACTTTTCATACAAATAATTGAAAATGATTTATCTATTGGAATTTGCAATTCAAATAACTACACTCAGCAAAATGAGTCCATGAAATTTGCCTCTAATTATGTCAGCCATTTTTCTAACGCCTGAAGAGTCAAAAATAAAAAAGTTTCGTTTATAAAAGTTATCTCAGTGTACTGTGCTGATAAAGAGAAATTAATAATAAAAATCAAGCCAAAGAGGAGACTTACAAGAAAATAGTGCAAACAGACTGCGACCATAAGAAGAAATCTTTACAAATCGTAGAGCACATAAATAAAACATTCGATTTTTATTGTTAACGCGAACTTTTGGCTATGGATGGGTGGGCAGGAGGAAGTTTATTTGCTGCTGCGCTCCACTTGTCGTTTTATTGCTGTGCCAAAAATTGGGCTCAATAAAAATTTACGTTTCATAAAATTTATTATGTATGCAACACAATGGCAATAACAACAATCGATGAGGGGACCAAAAAGTTAAGATCGTAGCGCTGGCAAAGCGGCAAAACTTACACAGCATACAAAATGACGTGCAAGTCCCCAACGAAAATCAAAGCCTGAGGAACAAGGAAATGAACAACTTTATATGCAGGATAATGGTCAAGCCATTATTAAGGCTCGTATCCTGCATATGTGTATACGTGTGTGTTTATGAATACATATGCGTGCGTGTGTGTGTGTGTTTGTGTGTGTGTGTGTATATACATTAGTGTGTTCCAAATAGTGGGCGCATTTGCTCGGCCCTACGGAATTTATGATGTGTGCGACCCACAGCACTTAAGCCGTCAGATAAAGTTCAAGTGTGAATCAACTTTTGTGTGTGCTACAGGCTCACTTTAAAGTATGACCAAACAGTGCCCATCAAAATACTCAAATAATTGATAATAGCCTAAAAATGTATAAAGCATTAATTTAAATTATAAGCTTTTTATATCTGAGCAAGAACAGTGACCGTCAATAATATTTTCGATAGCCTTAAGCCTTAAGGACACGTGTGCTTCAGTTTAAATTCGTATTGCTTGATTTTTATGCCAAATAATGAGTGTGTGTACTAACATGTGTATTTAATTGGTAATGTTTGCATTGACAATTGTACCATTGTACTGTGTTGACGTCTTTTTGTTTAGCTAACATGACATGGATTAAATCCTTTGAGAGATTTACGAGTAATCGAAGTTGAAAGTTTGCTTTCGCAGTTTTTGGGGACTGCAGCTGATAAAAGCTTTTGTCTAATGGCTGCTGATAGACAAACATGCAGATAGAAAAACAGACAAGCAGACAAACAGAGAGAAAGAGAGAGATGGGCACATATAGAGATAGAGTCACAGAGAGAGAGAGAGAGAGAGAGGGAGGGATGGACGAGCCCACAAATGGACGATTGGTTTGGCAAACTTGAGTATTAAAAGTCAAATTTATGTAAAACATTATGTAAACTATGTGGGCGGTATGCAAATACAGCTAGGGAGGTAGTCGGAGGGAGGGGTGATGGTTTGCAAAGCTGTCCCATATAGCATGACTTTTCAATTTCAAATGTGCTTAATGGCTTTTTATGGCGTCGAAGGGTCGCAGGGATCGGTCGTCGGTCTGCCATTTATCAAGTGAGAACAATTTGAATAGCTAACTGCACTCCCTGTCAAAAAAAAAAAAAACTTATTGTTGCACCTCACGAGTGTGTGTGACTGTGCCCTTAATAAAAACATAAACTGTTGCTGTTTAATATTCGACCTGATTGCGTTTGCTCCAATTGCGCGGCAGACAAAGGTTGTCAAGGGCAACTTTTAATTACACTAAAATAATTGTAAGCCAGAAGTGCAACGAATACGTTGCGCGACCAATCAATATTGTGTCACAGACACACACAGACACACACTCACACACACACTAACACACACACACACACAAGCAGCCAGTTGCCACGCGTGCGACAAATTAAACGCATCTCTTCCATACAATACAATCACCGAAAAGGTTGCCAACGGAAATAAAAAACAATTAAAAGTTAGCTATATTTTAGTTTTGAAATAATTAAAAAACACATTCACCCCTGTGCTTTTTCAATTCTAAGATTCAGGTTTTGATAACACAACATTTTTGACTAATCATTAAAATTGTAAATAATTGTAAATATTAAGTAATTCGTGTCATTTTCAATCTATTTAATTTATGTTAATATATAATTTAATTTCATAATTATATGAATTTAATGTACAAATGTATCATTTATTTTTATATATTTAAATGCATATATATTTTCATTTTTTTGATACAGCTAAATGTCTCGCTGCTGCTACCTACACTGGTAGCCTGTGTAAAATATGAAAAATATGAAAAATTGTCGCTGTGGAAAATGTTGTCACAGAAATAAAATCAGCTTCCCCTTTTGGTTGGGGACTTGGGGTCTTTTTGTGCACGTAATGAAAATGTTGCTCATATGCAAATGCCAGATACGAGTGTGTGTACGTGCTGTACGTGGTTGTGTGTGTGTGTGTAGGTTTGTTTGTGTATCAACAGGAACCTATTGTGTGTGTGTGTGTGTGTGTGTGTGTGTGAGTGGAATGTGTGTGTGTGTGTGTTTGGCGGGTGATTGCGTTGGGGCTTTACGAGCTGAGTTCTGTGGCATGTGCCTAATTAAATTAGAAATTAGAAAACGGAAATTTCATCACGAAATCTAAGAGCCTCAGAGTGTGCTTGGTGCCGTATGAGGTTTGCGGGGAGTTAACAAACAGATGAATTCCAAAAAACGTCTCCCTTAACATTGAAAAATCTCCCTAAGGTAAAAATCGTTCTGAAACTATAAAATTTTTCCTAAAACTAGACTACTACACTAGATCAACAATCCCAAATATATTGGGTTTTTTTTATATTTTACAGATATAAATATATAACCTAATAATAGAAAACATTTCTAAAAAGACAAAATGCAAGTAACGAAATTTAATGTCTCATCTTGTATATTGGAGTTTAGCTATGGTCACTGAAATTTTAAAATAATAATGCTATAAGTACCAAAAAAGCCTAAAATATGTCGAATTTCTCAAATGTAGCGATTTTTTTTCTCAGTGTGTGTCTACGGTTACAGGTCTAACTGCAAAATATTAAAGTCAAGAGCTGAAGCGGTAGGAGGTCAAGTGTGTTATATTTCCCATTGATTACAAAAGCATAGTTCGTACTAACAAAATTATGCTAAATTTTCTTCGCAAGAGATTTAGCTGGTCCTGTAGGAATGCCGCGGACCCTCCCTGCCGCTGCCCCTCTTACAAAAAGCGCAAACAAAGTCGTGCAAATATGTACACACATGACCAAAAACTGCTTGTGGTGTGTGTATGTGTGTTTGTATAATACAAGTACTTTCTATAAAAAAAAAAAAGTAAGCTAAACAAAAGCAGCTGCACAACCCGACTACAGAGTACAGAGATTTTGATGATGTTCCAGCTGTTGTTGTTGCAGTTGCTCTCTCTTAACCAGAATTCGCACAGATTAAGGATTTTTGCCAGTCAAGGCGAGTCGAGTCGACTCGAGTCGAGCTGAGTGGCCTTGTTGAGGGTTTTTGTCCTCCTTTTTTATGCTTTTTATACCCTTGCAGAGGGTATTATAAATTCCATGTGAAGTATGTAATACTTTAAGGGAGTCGTCTCCGACTCTCTAAGTTATATCCATTCTGGATCAGAGTCACTAGTCGAGTCCTGTTTAGGCATGTACAAACTAAGCCTTGAATTTTGTTCATATTATTTTTATTATATATGCTTTTGTCATTTGGACAAAAATCAGCACATCATATTGCTCTCAATCGGTTAGTTTCTTAATAGTATAAGGGATTTTAACTGACGGAATGTGGAGGGCATGTAATATTCGTTGTTGGTAGACAGCAATTTTTGTTTTTTTGTTTCCATACTTCTGTTTCTCTTTTCACTTTTGTGCCTCAAGCATCGGTGCGCTACGGGGCGTGGCCTTGTTTGTGGTTTGCTGAAAGTCTTTTGCTTGCAAACACATTCATTATGCATGCATTTTAAATTGTAAATTTCAATGCTCGTCACAGCAAAAATCCCA